AACCAACAGAACAGGAGCTAAACCCAACAGGTCAGGAGCTAAAACCAGCAAAACAGGAGCTAAAACCAGCTGGACATGAGCTAAAACCAACAGGACAGGAGATAAAACCAGCAAGACAGGAACTACAACCAGCAGAACCAGAGCTAAAACCTACAGGACAGGAACTAAAACCAGCAGGACAGGAGCTGAAACCAGCAGGACAGGAGCTGAAACTCCTTGAGCCAGCCCTTGAGCAAACCTCTTACCCCCCACCATCTGCTCCCCGGGCGGCCTGCATGCAGCTCTCTGCTCCACACAGAGCGCTGTGGTAGCTCGGTGTCTGTGGTTGAGTCAGGCAGGACATCCGGTGTAAAAACAATTGTCACGTCTTTGTGTGAGTTAGTTCACTGTGGTGACCCCTGAAGAAGGAGCAGCTGAAAGAAGATTTTTTTATTGTGTTCACCTTCATTTTATTGTATTCTAGTCTTGGACCGGTACTGCTGGTGAAGATTCTCAGTCATCCAGGACATGATAAATTCGAAAAACGTTCAATACAAAAACAACTGGACTTTATTTGTAACAGAAGACGTTTCGCTCCTCGTCCGAGGAGTTTTCTCAATTCAAAGAGCAGAGAGTGAGGGGTTCAGGTTATAAGGCTGAGATAAGATACACATACATATGCAGATTGACAAATCACACCTCACACCTTAACAGTAGGGCTTTCTTAAGGTCTTTGTTACGATACTGTGCTCTACTCTTGTTTAGCTCCAGTTTAGCTAATTTTAGCTTTTGTTCTGATCGTTGCAGCTTCATTAACTAAACCACTCAACCCTCAGCAGTTTCTCTCGCCACAGATCATTTTATACATTCCTCCAGACTAGCTGAAAATACGTACGTGTTCTTGTGAATCTTCAGTCGTTCATCATCTTCTTACGTTAGCGTGAGGTCCTGGTGAGGACCGACCTGACGGCGGAGGAAGACGAGGAGACGTGTGTTCATAAAGTCCGGCTGTCTGACGTCGGTGCACCCGGAGTGTGCAAATGAAGTTTTAATGATCTCTGTGAGTGTGATGGATCTGCTGTGGTAGACGTGATGAGGTGAGACGCTCAGATAAATTGAATTTCCCTGCGTCTCCATCATCACACCTGCCTCACATTACATCTTTAATGGCTGCAGCTCTGCGGGTCTCCACCCTCTGAAGGGCCGTTTGAACAAAGCTGCTGTGCAGCGACGGTGACGCAGCAGAAATGGTGCAGAGCTGATGTCAGTGGCGCTCATCGTCATCCTCTTTGTTTCGCTGTGTAGTATCTGAACGCTGTCAAATTCATTTAGTACAAATCAGTGCGTTCTTTATCGTCTGGGTTCCTGGCCTTCCTCAGGCCTAAGGAGGCGACGGCATCAGTTTATCTTCTGGACAGAGCCGCAGCTCCCTTCTTACTCTGCACTTTTTTAAACACCGGGCCGACAACGAGATGTGCTGCGTTACGGCGCCGTCAGCTGCCTGTCCGTGGACAGTTTGTGGCCCACGCTCTAACTTAATGTCTTTAAGGTCACAGCTGGACATGATGGGTTCAGGATGAAGCCACTGCTCTCAAGGACAAAGGTCAAGGTTACAGGTTCAAACCTTGACTCTGCTCCAGATGGACATCCAAGTACCAGAGACATGTCAAACCCTTTGTCCCCTAGATTGTCCCTTTCTGTCTATCCAGGTCAGGGGAGGGGGTGGGGGCTTCTTTGCGGAGGAGTTTTATTGTGGGCATCATGTTCCTGAGTGATGGTAGGATGGAGCTGGAGATGGTTCAATGGATCAGGACCTCGTCCTCAGTAATGAGGATGTTGCTCTGGTTGGTTGTTGTGATGAAAGAGTTGAGTCAAAAGACAAAGCTCTGGATTTACTCTGGATTGGATTTTATACCTGAATTATTGAGCATGGCCTTTGGTGTTTTTTAACCTGTTTGACATGACTGTTGACGAGGGAGAGGGCGGGCACCGGAGGAGAGGGCATGTCCCAGAGACCATCTTGGCACCAACATACAGTAACTGTTTTTTTAAACTTTGGAGTAAGCTGTTGGGGAGACGCAGTTTTGTTTGGTGTTTCCTCAGACAGATGAAGCCCTTCTGATGGAGGGTGAAACGTCTCAGCACAAAAACAAAAAGAAACCGTCCAGATGACCTGACTGAAAATTGTTGGATTTTATACCTGGATCATTGAACATGGACTTTGGTGTCTCTGGATTTACTGGCCCAACCGTCACCAGTGGTCATGAGGTTCTAAAAGAACCTGATTCTGGATCCAAGCAGCTGAAATGAGCTTCCTTGAGAGGGTGGCCCGGCTCAGCCTTAGCTTTAACAGTCTGGAGGGATTATATGTCCTCTCTGGCCTGGGAACACCTCAGGGTCTCCCAGAAGGAGCTGGAGGGCATTGCTGGGGAGAGGGAGGTCTGGGTTTCTCTCCTGGACCTGCTGCCTCTTTAACCTGACCACAGAAAAGAGGAGGAAGAAGGAGATGTCCATCCATAAGACAGGAGGCCACAGTAAGCTGTCTATGGTGTAACTCCACAGATGTCTAGGACAGAGAATGTCTTCAGACTGTGTCACCACATTAAGGATTAATGATTAAGGATAGGCTGGTGGTCATCAACTGGTGAGTTCTTCACCTGGTAGCTGCAGTTTCATGTTCTTACATGTTCTTCAATGGAACTGTTTGTCCAGTTATACCATGGACAGTATCATTATCAGTCAGACTGACCTTTGACCCTACTACAGTCATGGATATACCTAACACACATACTGAGGATTGTTGTGGGAGTGAATTCATTCTTTAGGCTGTTTACTGACGGGGTGGATTATGTGCTACTCTACGGTAGATCTGTTCCAAGTTGTGGTTCTGATGTTGACTCCTTTTTTCTTTTGAACCTGGAAGAACATGTAAGGTTTGACTCTGTACCCAGAGAGTATGAGACTGAGAACAACAACTTCAGGGCCAGGAGAAAGTTTAACTGTTTATTTGCAGGAGTGGATAATAGTGAACAGGATGTAGGATCTGTAGACCTGGACTGGAAACCTGTAGAGTAGGGAACAGTGTCAGCAGATGGCTCCTCTGGAAGACTGGTCTTCATATTCAGATTCCTTACTTATGAACAGGCGGTCGTCGCGTGGGCGAAATCCAAAAGGTTTCCAACAGGTGTCACACAAATGTTGGGCACGTGGTGGAAGGCAGGGATCAGCTGGAGGGATCACTAGGAGGCTCAGGAGGCACACAGGGAGGTCCAAGACTCAGGAGGATCACAGGAGTCAAGCGAGAACAAGGAGATCCAAGATGAGTCTTTCATAACACACTGGGAGCAAAGTAAAGTCCAGGAACACATCTACTGAAAGACAGGTGATGCACCAGCGTCAGATTGCAGTCATCAGCTGCCTTAAGGACTCCTTGCAGCTCATCAAGGGAGCGATCATCAGGTGTGGACCTGTTGGTGCCCTCTGGTGTAGAAGAGCTGCAGAGGAACACGCTCTTACAGAACATCCATTATCTTTACCTTCTTCTTCCTTTTGGTTTGTGGGGGTCACTGGTGCCCATGTCCAGCAGTCACTGTGCGAGAGGCAGGGGACACCCTGGACATGTCTCTAGTCCATCACAGGGACACATGGAGACGAACAAGACAACAACCGTTCTCTCTCTCTCACCTAGGTACAATTAGAGTTACCAATCAGACTAACCCGCATGTTTTTGTGCTTGTCTCGTGTTTTTTGGGGGGCGAGACGGGGCAGCCGATCTGGGACTAGAAAGTCGCGGTTCGACTCCCAGCCATTCCCTCATATCGTGGTGTCGCTGAGCAAGACACTCAATCCCTAATTGCTCCCCGGGTGCTCAGTAGCTGCCCACTGCTCCACCTGAGTGTATCCCAGGTGTGATGGGTTAAATGCAGAGAACTCATTTCGTCTCTGTCTGCGAACATACGATGATGACGACCTCAGACTTCCCTTCCCTTGTTTCTGTTACATTTATTCAAACTTTATGACCTTATACACATTTCTGTTTGTTTCTTTGTGGTTACGGCTCTAACACGCATTAAATATATTTCATTCAGCATATGTCACTTGTTCTGCAGCGAAACGTGCCTGTTCTGTTTCATGTGTCCTGATTGTCTGTCCACTGGACGTGTCTTCCTCCTGAGCTCCGTCTCCTCTCCATCCACAGTCGTGCTCATGAACTTCAGCTTCTGTTTGCAGAATGAGCAGCTTCGTCACCACTAACATCCGTGCAACATGCAAGAGAATGGGATGTGCATGACTTGCTCAAATGCTGCATTTTGGTCTTCCCTTTCTTTTCTTTTAAAATGTATTTATTTTGTCTGTGTGTGTAAAAACTGTTTGTCGTCTTTTTGTCAGTGATCTGAATGAAACTAAAGGGGGACAAGCAGGTTCATTTTATCTGCATGTGCTTTCCCTCTAGACTCTGGCTGCCCTAACGAGAAATTCGATAAATCTGCTTCCAAACCATCTTGCACAAGCTTTGCATGTCCACTCTGGTCCTGAGGAAATTAACAAGCGAATAGAGAGCGCCATCGACTTACGGAGTGGCGATAAGTTGAGAAGAGAGCATATCAAGCCTTTCTCACTGATGTTTAAAGACTCCAGCCTGGAAGAGAAGGTAGCTGGGGTTTTAGACAGACAACTCTTTATTTTCTTTCCTCTCTCCCTCCTCACATCCGTTTGAACCAGAAACAAAACGCAATCAGTTTTGGTTTTTCATGAGCAAGCTAAAGGCACTTACATCCCCTCTGTTTCATTCAAAAGTGCCTTCAGACAAATTTACACGAGTCCGTGTGAATTTCACTCAAACACTAAAGTGTTCGTTGATATGGAGTCTCAAGTGTGCCATATTTGTCTAATTATTCTGATCAGTGTTGCAATCATTTCATTCAGTCATTCAAATATTTACGCTAATTTAGGCTGACAAGCTCGACACATACCTCATCAAATTAATTGGCTCATCAGTAAATAATCATCTTATTGCAAAATTATCAAACGTTTACAGATTAAATCTAACGAGTCAGTTATACACGTAAAGAAACAGCAAATAAACTTGGAAAAAAACACAAGGGTTTGTTTTAAAATATGGCGAGAATAGCTTCTCCTCCCTCTCTGCTGTGCATCAGCTGACTGTAAGGCCACGCCCACCCACAAGAGGAAACAGCCAAATATGTGCATGGCTGTAACCATGGCAACAACCGGTGGTAGGGCTTGGTAAAGGAAGTCTTGGTCATTTCTAGACAGAGTTTTGGTGCCGACGTTTGCGTGAATGTTTTTTGTTCCGGTATCGACCAAGTTCACCGGACGTTTGGACTCCTCCGTGACAAAACTGTAAATTTATCTTAAAAAAACCACGAGTCTAAAACAACTGTTTTCTCATGTGAAATATGTAAGTGTGATGAAAATAAAAATGTAAGTTTATCTATTAAAAAACATCAAAGTGAGCATGAAATTAGTTTTTACAAGTTTTACAAGAAGATAACTTTTTAAATCCTTGTTTTTGTTTACGTTTTCATTTGGTGCTTCAAAATTAATCTTCAGATTTTCACACGACCGCATCTGAACAGTCTAATTTAAAGGTTTCCAAACACAAAACACTCGGATCATTTCAGTTGAACTCATAATAATCAACAGTCAGCGGGGAAAGATGAAACAAGGCCGTTGGTAAAAATATCCTCCATTCATCTTACTGACTCAAAGTCACGCTCAAGGTCACGAGAAGGTTTTTAACTGGTTTTACTTGTGAGGGCAGGTTTTCACCACAGGTTACACAGGTGTACAGAAGTTCAACGTGCACGGAGGTCACGAGAAGCTGCAGTGTGCGAGAATTGTTTTTATAACCTTATCGCCTCCCGGCTCACAGACAGACACTGATGACCTCGGCCACTCAGCTGCACATGCAGGATCAAATCAGCTCCTCATTCAGCTCTCTGAGAGAGAACAGACTAACTCCAACACATGGTTCATGGGCAGTTAACCTTCATAGTAGTTCAAAACATCCAGAAACCTTGACCAAGAATCCCCTGACGAAGGCAGCATCCCGATGGATCAAGGTCAAGTTTTAAATATTAGATCACTGCTGGTTAAGAAGCCTCACTGGTTAGAGGTTCTGGTGGTCTGTTCTGAGTCAGCCTCGATGCATTCATGCAAACTGAAAACATTTGTTTGGGTTTTCGTGCGTTTCTCTTATAGAGAATTGTTCCAGCTGAGTTAAATCAGTTCAGTGGGTTCTGAGCCCAGTCTAAGTTGGTTAAGGAAGGACGGGCCCAGCTTCTGATGGACCTCGTCCCACCAGCTTCTCCTGGTCTTTGAACGGTTCTGTGGTTCAGCTCCACCAGCCGGGCTCTTTAACACCAGCTCTCCTTGAATCAGTTCAGTGGGCTCGACTCGGGCCTCAAAGATCCATCAGTTGACTAGAACAACCTTTAAAACACCATTTTATCCTTTTGAGAACTTGGTTTTATTTAGGTTGTTGGTTAAGTCTTTATCTCACTGGATGGTTGCCGACTGCTTGAAGACAGAAAACTGTGAGAAAATATGCAAATTTGCACTTGGAACCTCTCTGGATGGATTCTTATGACATATTTGCATACGTTAGTAGCCGTCAGTAAGTTGCATAACATTCCTGCAGCAGATATGCATCTTAATTATGTCTTAATTTAGTTTCAGATGTACTCAAAACACTCTCTGAAGTTGTCTCACACTTCGTGCTCTTTCAGAATGACAAGTGTTTCCAGGCCACTTCCAAACGCCTTCAGTGTCTGTTTGCGTTTGACTCGAGGCAGCGTTGCCAGATAATTATAGTATTTATATGATAGTTTTAGGGTCAATACCTTAAATGAGAAATAGGTTTGAAAAAGCTCAAACAAACAAAATAAAACTGTTTTTGTTCTCGTAAAGCCCCACATCTGATGGTCTGATCCAACCAGCCAGGCCACGTGTTCGTCCCGCTCCATCCTGTCCCACCACTCATCATCCCTTAGCTCTTCTGCCAGTTTGAATCCAGATACAGTTCAAGGTCCTGCGAGCTGGAAGTTAGGAACCGCTGCAACTGTTTTGAGACACTTCGGAAATTCTCTTGCAAATATCAGTTTGTTGTTAAAATGTGCGTGAGATACGGGACTTAGGGTTAAATTAAGTTTTACTAAATCAATTCTGAATTTTAGTTTTGAAGTTATGACACCTTTCTGAAAATTACAATATTATAAAATTATTTGATTTACTTTGTACATAATAAACATAAAAACTTCAGCAGGGGCACATTTTGGACTCCATATTTAAAACACACCAGTAAATGGCAGGTAAACTGTAACTAATCAGTCAAACTCATACACATGCACATATAAAGTTAGTATAAAGTTTAAGTTTTACTGCTTAGTGCAGTATTGTGCATTTTAAATAACGTTAACTGACTCAAAACATAAAAACATGAGTTTTGTTTCTTTTGTAGCGGACACTGACCCCCTTCAGTTTACTCATGACTAACTGTCCGTCCCTCAGACCTGTTGGTTTTACAGTTTTGTGGAAAAAGTTGACAAATTCAACTTTTAAAACAATCTTTTCTGTTCGTGTTTTCATTCATTTAAACTCACTGCATTCCCCGAAGAAATTTTTTTTTTAATGTTTTTGTCAAAATTAAGGAAATAGTAATAACTCATTTTATGAGTTGTTTACTTAGAAAAATGAAAATTTGCATTCTCTGGAGATAAATTTGAAGAGTTTGTTGAAGCAACCAAACAATATAAGCAGTGATTTTTAAAGTTTTAAATGATTAAACTTGGGGAACATCTTTAATTGACTCTAGCTAACGAACAACTAAAGTTACTCTGACTTGACTAAACTGAACTAATACATCTTAAATTAGATATTAATTAAGAAAAAAAACTTGGATTAAGGATGAATGCAACTTTTATTACACTCTAAATAGTTTTGTTTACATCTCCAGTCTCTGACCCGGACATACATTTGTAGACAAGTGGTTTCTATAGCAACGTAGCAGCAGAAACAGCTGATAGCATCTAAATGATTAAATAATGCCATTATGGTAACTTTTTTATTATAGTGAAAAGATAAGTCAGAATCATGAGATGATAAAGTCACAGTTTTAAAATGTGTTTAATTGATTTTTCTTTGCTGAATGCAGTGAACTTATAGTTTTTAGTTTGATTTGTGACATTTTTCATCTTTGTTTCCAGTCATGCTGGCCCTCCTTCCATACTTGTGTTTTCTTTTTAGTCCTACAATCGTTTCAAAGACCTTTTCCAAGACCCCTATTTATTTATTTATTTATTTATGCACCTTCTTTCCCTCTAAACCTCAGTAAATGTGCAGTGATCTGGTGTTGGCCTCCCTCATTTTTTCCCACCCTTTTTTGCCAAAGTTGTGACCAAAGTTGAAGCACCTCTTGCTAATTTTCCAGCGTCCTTTGAGAAAGAGACAGCGAGGCCGGGGCAGCAGGTGTCCCTGGGTGGCAAGTTTGGAACTGAGACCAGTTTCAAGACTTTCTGTTTGTCCAGCGTCCTACTTTGAACACGGTTACCAGTAAACTAGCCTAGCTGGCTTAGCTTAGCATAGCTAGCCGAGCAGAAAAGCTAGCTTGGTGGTCTCGGAAGTTCATAACTTTTATCTTTTAAAAAGTATATCTATAAAATTAGTTCCATTTCAGTCTTTTTACTTGACTCCTAAAATAAAATGATCAGTTTTCAGAAGACACGTAGCTCATCTTGCTAACTAGCTTTTTAAAAGCACCATATTAAATCATTAGTGCTCTCTCATCCTAATTAATGTATGTAAAATCATGATAACTATGGAAAAGTAAATGACTTAAATCTGAAAACATTTTGTGATGATGTTTTATGCAAATTACAGTTCAGCCCAAACAAGAGGGATAGCATAAAAAAAATATATATTTTTCAAACTGGGCCGGAGAATAATGGGGAAAAAATTCAAATAAGTCCAATATTTTTCCTGTTTTCTTTTGAAGTTTAGTTTTGCCACTTATTATATCTCAGCACTCTCTGTTGGTGTCTCAGCTAGCATGTAGCTAAATGCTAACAGCTAGCTTTGTGCATGTCAGCTTCTGCACCTTCCCCAGGACCTCACAGCTAACCCAGCTCCTGTCTCTCTCTAACGCTTGTGGTTGACCCGTCGCATGCGTCTGCGCCATGCATCCGTGCATCCGTGCATCCGTGCATCCGTGCATCCGTGTGTTTGGATTCGTTCGGTCCTCGTTCGTCAGAAAACTTGTCCGGCTTCCCCTCACCTCCTCTCCCTCCTCCTTTCTTTTCTTTGTCTCCCTCTTGTCTCCGTGCAGTACTCCCAGATGAGAGACGAGGTGTTCAAGTCCAACCTGGTGTGCGCCTTCATTGTGCTCATCTTCATCACCGCCATTCAAAGTCTGCTTCCCTCTGCCAGGTAAGACGAAGGATCCTTGGTGGGCGTGCAGGTGCCCCGATAAACGGGCGTACAACGCATTCCTGCCGCTCAAAGTTTGAAGCCAGCCTTTAATTAGCAACGTATTGTTTGGAGATTTAATTGAATCCTTCATCAGGACCGCACTACGCTCCCCACAACCTACACGATCTTTTAAAGCCTGACGCTGCTACGCTCTTACTAGACAAATAGATTTTTTTTTAATTTGACTCAGAGAAGCTGTCCTGCACATTCACCAAGCTCAATATGCATCAGCCAATATGACGATACAAAACGCCACACCCTGGACACAGCTACATGATGTCAGTGTGACGCCACCGCCACAGGCATCACGTCTGTGCCAGCTTGTTCACATCACTCAGGATTTACAGCGACTCTGGAAACCAAGGAAAACGACTTTCACATTTTTCAGCCGGTGGAAACAGAATCTGAACCCTGATCGTTTGATTGAAGGATGATTGTTCAGATATAACGTATTAATTCTAATATAATTGACTCCATGTTCTGCTTCTACACAGCACATGGATCCGTACTGATTGGCTGTGGTGGTTTTAGTTTCTGATACAGTTTAATGACCAGGAATGATTGCTGTTAGCTGCGGTATACGTTCTGTTATCTCTGGATGTGCCGCCGCCTTCTGTCTGAGACTCTTGAGCGTTTCGCGTGACTGAAATATCTCCTTTACTCAGGGAAACGTCAGGGAATTTTGTCCTGATGCATCCTCAATAATCCAGGTAGATGAATCTTACCAAGCTTAGTCAGGTCCTCTGGATGGAGTCTTCTTTGTTGAAACGTTTCATCTTTTATCCAAAAGACTTCTTCAGTCATGACTGAACCTGAACCTTGTTAGGTCTGGGAATTTTGTTTTCACGAAATGCTGGAAACCTTGAAATTTGGTAGAAGTTTCCTTTAAAGCAGAGCACTTCTCTCTCAGACTGCAGGTTTACTCGTGGTTCCTAGAGTTTCCAAAAGCAGAATGGGAGGAAGATCTTCCAGTTCTCAGGCTCCTCTCTTGTGGAACCAACTTCCAGTTTCTGTCCGTGAGGCTGACACATTGTCCAGTTTTAAGACTTTCCTTTTTCATAAATCCTATAGTTAGGGTTGTTATGCTGCTATAGACTTAGACTACTAGAGGACAAATGGACCTAATTTCCCTAATTGAATAGTTAAAATTGAATAGTTTTCATTGATATTATTTCTATCTTAACATGTGATTCTTGACCTGCCATTGTGTATCTATTCTTACCAAACTCAGTTGGTCGAAGCAGATGGTCCTCTTGTCCTGATCCTGGTTCTGCTAAAGGGTTCTTCCTCATGAGGGAGTTTTTCTTTCCACTGTCGCCTTCATGCTTGTTCAACATGAGAGTTCAGTGATGGAGTTAAACTCAAAGCTGCTCCTCACATAAATAATGTTCAGTTATTATTTTATACATGAATGTTTCTGTTCAGTTATTATTTTATAGATGAATGTTTCTGATCAATTATTATTTTATATATGAATGTTTCTGTTCAGTCCCTGAGACGACTTCTGTTGTGACTTGGATCTTTAGAAATAAACTGAACTGAGTTGAATTAAAGCAAACAAACAAAAATGATTTCAGAAACATTTAACCTTCTGGATAAAGAAGTCTCCTTCATCAACTCGATGGTGCAGCGTCACTCTGCAAGGCAACCTCTCCTTAAACTCCTCCCATCCAAACAGGTGAAGAGCTGAGCTCTGCCAGATGTTTATAGATGCGTGAGGACCAATCCCAAACCACCCTGACCCCCAACAGGTTTCCTGCATGCTCAAAACAATCTTTGACCCGCCACACTCTGTCATGTGTAATGGGTGGGTAGAAACCTGAAGACCTCACCAAGGCCCTGCCAAGACCATCCATGTTCTGGTCCATGTTCTGGTTGATGGTTTTCATCGTAGTGTTTCTTTGATTCTGATGGTCTCCTGTCTGTGATGGTGGGGAGGCTGACTCCAACATCTTCTGTGCAGCCTTCACCACTCTCTGCAGAGCTTTTCTTTCTGCAGCAGTGCAGCCTCCATGCCACACGTGAGGACTGAGCTTCCAGACCAGCTCGTCTCAGCCGTCTGAGGAAGTAGAGTCTCTGATGAGCTTTCTTGATCAGGCTGGTGGTGTTGTTGCTCCAGCTGAGGTTGTTGTTCAGGTTCAGATGAACTATCGTTAGAAAATTAGACAAGATGTCCCAACTCTCCTCGTCCTACAAACACCAACAAGAAATGGTTTCAATGAAAGCTCACTTTCCAGCAGTTTATAAATTCAAATAGTCTTCGGTTGTTTTGGAGGTTTTAAGCCTTTTTTTGGTCGTTCTGCACGTCTTGTTTTCTTGCAGAATGGTGACCATGGTGATCCAGTTCTCAGTCCTCATCATCCTCCACTCCTGCCTGGTTCTGGTTACGACAGCGGAGGACTACAAGTGTCTGCCTCTGGTCCTGAGGAAGGCCTGCTGCTGGATCAATGAGACGTACGCAGCACGAAACGTCATCATCTTCGTCTCCATACTCATCAACTTCCTGGCAGCGATGATCAATATAGTAAGTTTATTTTGATTATTTCTACAATTTGTCACACGGACACACAGAAACCTTCACGGTTCCAGTCTAATGGACATCAAACTGCACGTCAGTTGGACCCCATGAACAAATGTTTATATGTGAGTTTGCCTTTTATTGATTTTTTTAATATTTAAAAATTTATAATTAAATTCAAACTGGGATGGTTCTGTTTTGGTCAAAACGGGGATTCTTTGAAATTGTCTGAAAATAGAAAAAAACAGTTTTATTACAATTTTATCTTAATTCATTTTGTATCAAAATACGCAAAATAACTGCTCCATTTGTTTGGGGGCATTGTTCTCCATTAAAGGGATATTTTGGCCAATTTGAATTTGGGTTCTGTGGGAAAGGTTACATCTTTCTGGGTGTAGATCGCTTTTTGAACAGCCTGTTTGAACATCTGATGGAACTGGGACCAGATTGCTTTAAATAATAATGGCTTGTCCGAGCATGGCCAGGTCCAAAGTGTCTAAAACATTTTCAAAGTGGTTCATGCGAATGTTATTTTTTAAACTCAGTCAGATCTGCATTTATCAGTTATTCTGGCCAAAATATGACAAAGTTCCTGATTGACTAGAAGCTGCACCAGTAACCACAAAACTTCACATAAATATCTGTTTAGTAAAAATAATACCAGTGGTGTAGATATGAAACAGCTTTTAATGAACCTCTATGAACCCTTATGAACCTCTACAAACCTCTATGAATCTACAAACCTCTATGAACCTCTATGAATCTCTATGAACCTCTACGAACCTCTATGAATCTCTATGAATCTTTATGAATCTCTATGAACCTCTATGAATCTCTATGAATCTCTATGAACCTCTATGAATCTCTATGAACCTCTATGAACCTCTATGAACCTCTACTTTCTGAGACTAGAGGTTATTTTAAAACCTCAGTCCAGTTTGGGCTTGGCTGCTCTCAGCCCAGCTGTTAGCTCATCAGTGCAGTCAGACTAAATGTTGTCGTTTAGTTTTATTAAAGTCTGGAAAGTTGTTCTTTAATGGGACGAGACTTGAGACTGTTCATATTGAATGTTGAGGATGTTGAGAGTGTTAACATTGTAAAGAGTCTGTGTTGGTTTTTCGGCTGTTTCTGCGCGAGCTTACATCGCTCAGCAACAATAATCAACCCTGTTGGTCTCCCCCAGCTGTGGTGCGACTTCGATAAGTCCAACACCTTCAGGAACCAGACGTACAACGCGTCCGCCTCCATCCCAGACATCTGCTTCTACCCAGAGGTACCGGCTAAACGAGGTGTCTGAATCCATCTGTTGTTTTCTCACTCCTGCCACGGCAGTGAAACGATGAATTAAACCTCCTCGACAGCTGCTCACACCCAGAGGGAGGTCTGGCCTTGGACATGACGACCGATGGAGCCATCAGAGAGTCACGGGGACATCGTCCAATGTGTTATTTTGCTCACACAATGTGCAGCTGATTGATGGAGTCAATAAGATGGGCGCTGTTTTATAGCTCCGAGCTCCCGTCGAGCCATCTAGTGTTGCATGTATACATCAAAGTTATTTCTTCAGAGGCCTCCGTGTGCAAATAAAAGCTGTTTTTAGATGCATGCAGGACAGCAGCTCGTGTTTTAGAGCAAAAACACAAAAATGTGAAGCTGAGGCGCGGCCACTTGTCATTTATCAGATTTAACTCTACTGAAGTGGTCCCTGCTAAATCGTTACAAACAAACGTGAGCTGATTTTATTGGTGTTTAACTTGTGGTCGTGTGGCTGGAGGAGGTTCAGACGACGTCATGAAAGACGTTTCAGCCTGAGCTCATTAATAATGAAAAGCGTGCATCGTGTTTGAAACATGGCCGACACGTTAAATCATTTCAGCTGCACATCACGGCTCTCTGGGAAGAAAAACGAGAGAATTATTTATTCATTTATTTCAATCTGCTTTCAGGAATCTGACTCTAAAAACACACATTTCTAGAATAACACAGAGGAAATGTTAAACCAGGGGTGCCCAGACTTTTTCACATGCGGCTCAAAATAAAAAGGCCACAAACGTTTGAATTCCCCAAACTCAACAAGGTCAACAATATTCAGAGAAAGGACTAAGTTTATTCATTTTGGTGGAGGATTTATAAATTGTTTTAACAAACATCATAAACAAAAACTTTATTTAAAAAAATCCTTCAATTCCTTTAATTTGTTGGGTCTTTTGTAAAATACATTTAGTCTATTCTGAGAAGTCAAAGTGTAAAATGAGTTACTTCGCTCCTCGATTAGTGTGTATTAAATACACGTTTTCTACGTCTAACTTCTGTTGTTTACTCGATCTTCTTGCAAACATCCAAACATCTAATTGTTAAAACACGCAGGAGCTGATTGCTGTGACCTTTGACTCTTGTGCTGTTTATGGATTTTGAAATATTCAGCTTTATTTAAGCTCATTAGGAAACACTGGGACTCTTTCAGCAGCTCGGATCTGGTCCAACATGGCCGCCTGCTGACAACGTTTTCCTGGAAGCTCTGCAGGTTTAGAGACTCCATGAAGCAGCTCACAACGCTCCTGAGATCACAGAACTGGCACGTGTTCCTCCCAGCATTACAAGTTAAAGGCTCATTTTCAAATGGCCTGAAATGTTTCACCTTCATCTTTTCAGCTGCGCCTTCCTTCTAAACAGCGTTTTTAGCTGAACTGGGTTTTATTACAGACTCTCTCACTGGTACATTTTCATCTTTAAATCACTTCTTGGTCTGCTGCCTTCATACATCTCCTCCTTCATGTCTCTGTGTGAGTGCAGCTACAGCGTGCGCTCTCAGGACATCATTACCTGCAGTGTCCCCTCAGTGAGGACTGAACTAGACAAAAGGACCTTCTCCTACTCCGCTCCTGTTTCCTGGAACATCTTGTAAAAAGACCTCAAGCTCTCGACCTTTGACCTCTCTAAGTGTCTTCAAACATCTGATAAGCTCCTGGAAAAAACCAACGCAGACATGTTCCTGTTCTTAATGTTTTATATCTCTTTACAATCTACCTGTTTATATCCTTTTTTAATGACTGTCCACTGTTGTCATCTTTCTTTGTTGAAATGAGCTCGCTCTTGTAACATCTTCTGAACTTGGTGCAGCCAAAGTGAAACAGGAAGTGACATCACAGAGGAACTCTTCTCTCTGACAGACACTCAGAATAATCTGAAGAAGCATGTTCTGCTCACATGCAGGCGCTCCCCTCTGACATCACTTCCTGTTACTGAGCATAATATCTCAACAACTGTTCACCTCAGCGGTGTTTACTTTATTTTTTTTTATTTTTGGCAGTAATTACTGTTGTCTTTCAGAAAATTCCTATTTATTAATGAAATGTGATGTCACAGACACTTTCAGCCTGGGGGGCCACACAAAATCACTCCAAGGGCTGCAAATGGCCCGCGGGCCTCACTTTGGACCCCCCGTGTTAAACCGCTCCCTCAAAGTGCAGATTGTCCCTCCACTGCTCCGGAGGAACACGTTGCTCTTCCTGAACTGTTGTGCAGATGTTTGGTGTTAGTTGGAAACATTAAATATTTTACTAACACAGCGTGTTTGAGCTGCTGTGGATCTGCTTTTAACCAGGTCTGTATATTTTCCAGTATTTTGTATTCACAGGAGTCCTGGCGATGGTCACGTGCGCCGTCTTCCTGCGGCTGAACTCGGTGCTGAAGCTGGCCGTGCTGCTGGTGATGATCGCCATCTACTCGCTGCTCACCGAGGCCTTCTACACCTCGCTGTTCGTCCGCTACGACACCGTGCACCACAACACCGAGTGAGTTCAGCGTTTGGGCCGCCGGGCCGGTTCTGGTTCGGTTCTGGTTCGGTTCTGGTGATGGTTTGATCCGTTCACAGCTGTTTCATCATCACTATGTTACTTTAAAATCAGTCTTTTCATGATTTTCTGAGGATTTTTTACTGATTTGATTGTTCGACATTCAGATCTGAGTTTATTGTTAAGAGTTAAAATTATACAAATACGTCCAAACCCCTCCGCCCACTGTGACACCGGACCACAGGTCCATCAGTTCTGTCTGAATCTGTACCGCTCTTCTTCTTCTTCTTGGTTCATTAAAGTCGTTTGGGTTCTTCTGCACGGACCAAACTATCAACCGGGCCGAGGCCAGAGCTCTGGAAAGGTCATCGTTAGCCCGATTGATCTGATCAGAGACTGGTTCTGATGATTGATCCAGACCAGTTCTGATGACTGATCCGATCTGAGGCTGGTTCTGATGATTGATCCAGACCAGTTCTG